CTTTTTTAGTTAAACACAAAAAAACAAACATACACATACACATACACATACACATACACATACACATACACATACACATACACATACACATACACATACACATACACATACACATACACATACACATACACATACACATACACATACACATACACATACACATACACATACACATACACATACACATACACATACACATACACATACACATACACATACACATACACATACACATACACATACACATACACATACACATACACATACACATACACATACACATACACATACACATACACATACACATACACATACACATACACATACACATACACATACACATACACATACACATACACATACACATACACATACACATACACATACACATACACATACACATAAGATTATATACCAGTATATACAAACACAATTCAGTTTCAGTTATATTTGAATGAAGTAAATGATGAAAAATACAGTATTTTGAGTGAAAATATCTCAATTTTCTAGTATGTCTTACATCATATCTGTAAATTGAGTGCTCATTATATAAATTCAGAGAAACTGGTATTTTGTCAAAATTATTAGTTTTCTGTGTCTGTCTTTTTAAACATGTTGTTTGTAAGTGAGTCTAATGTCGTTCACAGGCTTAACAATTTTGAGCTTTACTTAAATATAAGTAAAACTTAAAGAAATACAGCACTTGATTTCCATCGCTTACATTATCCTCTTTTATTACTCACAAAAATGAGAGAAACAGAGAGAACATATAGAGAAAGAGAAAACTCCCGTTTCTCACATTGCATGGCATTGCAGTCAAGTCACTTGAAGATGGATTGAAAGAGAAAGAGGGGAATAACATAGAGAAAGAAAGAGAGAGAGAGAGAGAAAGAGAGAGAGAGAAAGAAAGAAAGAAAGAAAGAGAGAGAGAGAGAGAGAGAGAGAGAGAGAAAGTTGTGAGACATGTTTAGCCATCAAATATTCGGTGCATTGGTTCACAAGTAATACAACGCTTGGTTGAAGTGCCACAACAAACGAGACAACATTGAGAACTACATCACTATTTAATACAACAGTATTTTTTGCAATTTATTTCTCATATAAAGTCTGTTTGAAAGCTATGAAATACTTTTAAGCATTTGTCTCATTGAAACACTATCTCAACTGACAATAACGACAACCAATATCTTTACTGCTTTTGGATTGTCTTTAAGGCATAAAAATCGAGATTTTGTGCTCTTTTAGTCACAAATGCAATCAGTTATGTGTTTGAGTAAAAAATGTTTATTAATTATTGTTGATATTCAATGTTATTCAATGATATTCATGGAATAAGACAACGATTAATCATTTTTTTATACAAAACACACACAAAGCTATTGAATGAATTGCAGCCAAAATGCTGTCAATTAAGCGTTTAAAAGATTTTTGTGCCGCACTTCTACTCGTTGTTGTCATAAATGCAATGCATTTCATACAAAATCAATGTTAACTTCAAAACTAATACTTTCTCTCATTTGGTGAGTTTATAAAATGATTTATATATTTATTGTATAACTGATAAACATTATAGAGTTTCAAAACTTCATTTAATGCTATTAAGTGTTTAGTGTTTATGATTGGTTGCATTGGTTAAGCGCTTCTCCCAATGTTTATGTAGCTGTCTCTCAGCCATCGACACTAAGATCTGGGCTAAAGTGGCCACAGTTTGCTATATTACTCACAACTTTAATAGTATCTGTGCTTTTCATATCTCATTTTTAGTCTTTTCCTGTGCTCTCTCAACATATATGTGGCATATATTGTATTTAATGCGTTATGAGATCTCATTGCAATTTTCAATAGCACAGAAAACAGTATATAATATGGTATACAGTAATAACTTTTATTGAAAGAGTGGGTATGAGATGCCAGTCCTCCTCCACTTGTAATAATGCTGTAATTGTGAAACATTATAACTTTAGTTAAACCAAATGCTTTATATATATATATATATGTAGTGTATGGCAGCTGTGTTGAGCTCTGTGTGCTCTCACATCATATCTTTCTCTCACTGTTTGTCTGACAATTTAGTTATGCGTTAATTCCGTTTCTATCAAATGTATAGATATATACAGTATATACATAGTATATATCAGTAAATTGTGCTTTAAGTGTATATAACTTATATAACTTTGACTACACTATTGTTTAGTTCTTTAATGTAAACTATTTACTATATATTATATATATATATAATATAGAAAATAGCAATTGTAAGCCACTAAAGCAATAGCATCGTATGGTATGCCTTGAAAGTATAAACTATTATATTGCATAGTCTTTATAAGTGTTTCATTGCAATTGCCTAACTTGTAAGCGCTGTTTTATATATGGGTTGTCATTAGATTTACTTTATTGTCTGTATATACTCTGTGTTAGAGATAATGTTTAAGTGAACTAACACTTAATTTTTGCAGCGCTTGCATCACATGCAATGGCAGCACATTTAATAGTCAGTGCTGACGACCAAATCTGGCAAAACTTATAGCTTTGTTATATAATAAGACTCTTTATTGTAACCTTATTGAAGTCACATATAACAAACTCATTGTATTTCATGTATTGCATAGTATTGTCATTAAATAAAAGAGTAATACTCTCGTCATGTTGTGTGTAGACGCATGAGAATTGAGGCAAAATAGTACTGTAATACCAGTGCCCAAACACTAACACAGAATATATTGATTTGCTTATCAGTCTATCACACCATCACTACTACAGTACTATTACTACTACAGTACTACTGCCACTGCAAACTCTGCAAACACTACAAACTCTATTAATGCTATCTTTACTATCGATGCAATGAATTTCATATGAAACACGACTAACCATTTATTGCATAATTGCTTTTACTTTTATCCTTTCACTCAAATTATATGCTATATTGCAGTGAATTCTGGGAATAAAGAAAATAAGAAAATTATAAATTATTTGTTAAATCTATTAATTAGTCGTTTCTTTTTACTTAAAGTATTTACATTTACTTTATAAAATAACAAAAACATGAAATATTTAGTTTAAAAAATATTTTATGTATTAATAAATTTAAATCACGAGAAGCGCTTATGTATTACATCTAAGAAATGCATTTTTGCTATATATTTGTCACATTTTTAACATTAATTGTTAGCCTCTTTCAAGACATTTAAAATAGATTTATTTATATCGTTTACTTTCTCTTTAATTGCCAACTCATGACTTACTTTAACAGCAATTTGACACAACTTTATGTGACAAGAAATAGTTGATATACCGGTATATAGTTAGTGAATATTAGTAATTGTTTAGCAATTTTTCTTATAAATCTTCTTCAATGACAACTTTTAATTTGTTTAATCTGTTTTTTGTTGTTGTTGTTGGCATAATTCAGTACTATTTACTAATACAGTACTAAATTTTTTATGGTGTCAAAAAAATTATCAGTAAAATATTAAGACATGTAATTATTTTAATAATTATATTATAAATTATTATTTCTTATTTGAAACTTGCTTTCATAGCATTTACGCATTTAATATAAACACTATATATATATATATATATATATATATATATAAAGTATTTAAAGTATTAAGTGAAAATATTGCTTATATAGTAATTATTAATTTTTAATCATTAATTTTATGTGATTTTCATCATTTGAAGAGCCAGTGAATTAGTGACTATTTACTGGAAAAATAATTATGTATTATATAATAAATAAAAATAGATATCATATAAGTTGTGGTTTGGCGGCCGACTATTGCATCTATACATCAATCGACTAATTAAGAGTCACTTATATTTGAAGCCCACAACAACTCTATATACTGTGTATTTCACAAGTGATGCTTTTATAAGAGAAAGTTAGTAAAGTGCTGATGCTCTCTATGCTCTCTATGCTCTCTATGCTCTCAATGCTCATTGCTCTCAGTGCTCATTACATATTGTGCTATATTATGAGACTATTATAATAGATGGATATAAACGGTGAACACATCAAAAGGGAGAGAGTATTACATATGAGATATAATAGCAAAAGTGTAGTTAGACTAACATCACAGCAAAGTGTAACCGCTTTCTTATCGATTCAGTGTATGTACAGACTGTGTATGACTGTGCCATCTCTCTAAACGTTTGGCATCAATGCCTACAATGCTTACAAAGTTGAGTTAATGTGAGCCCAACTTGTTATAAGTTGCCGTTGCAGTGACTCAAACAATATCACAACATCACATCCATACCCAACTTCACGGCACTAACTCTATTTTGTTGTGTGAGCACAGCCTCATAAGGCACATGTATTTTGCTTTAATAGTATGTGTGTTGGTATATATTCACACATAGTGTCTGGCATTTACCAGCGTATAACATACCATACCATCGTTAAGCATAACAGTTCTCTATTGACTATAATATAGTTAAAGATAGCAGACTTTGCTATGGAATCGCTGCTAACGATTGTTAAGTGCTTTGGATGTTATAAAGCGCTGGCAATGACTTTAATGTTAAAAGCATTGCACACAACCAACAATTGATTGCTTACATTATAGCAATTCTATACTACTATATGCTGTCTTCACTCAACTAATAAAGTATAACACCATAACTGTTCACAACTTTTACTTTCAACTTCTTAACAAAAACACTGAACATTGAATACTCAATTAATTGCATTCAAATTGCACCACAAATTTGTGCCAAAAAGTGATCATTTATAATATGATTATATTTATACAAATTTCAAATCTCAACCTTTAATATCAGCTATTCATGTAAAAGCATTTATCATATTATTAAATATGCAACAAAAGGAAGTTAATGTTACTACCGGTACAAATACAAGCAATAATAACATTATTAATAATAATATTTCAATAACAACAACTTCAACAACAACAACAATAACAACAACAACTAATAATAATAATAGTAATAATAATTTTTATTATAAAAGTTTTAATAACAATATTACTATGATTGACAAGAGTAGTAATTGTGGCACAAATGGATCTCATAAATTAGACTCATTTTACCAATCAAACAATTTATCAACTTATGGACTGTCATATGGTCTTAGTTGGCACCCGCATGTCTATGGAAAGCCTCCAAAACAACCCACTTCTTATCTCATCGAAGATATTCTGGGAATCAAACAAAACGGTTCCAAATCGTTATCATCAAAGACATCATCAACTATAACAACAACATCATCAACAATGACAACAACAACAACAACTACTGCTTCTTCTACAACTTTTACTACTACTACAACTTCATCAAAAGGCAGTGGTATGTCGTTATTCATTAAATATTAGTTATTATTGCTATTATGTTATCTCTTCTATATATATAATATACAGGTATACTGTTATTATATTTAATACGTTATTTTGTTTACTTTAAAAGATTTGATAACATATGAAACATTAAATTAATACTAAAATAAGTTAATGTATAAAGTTATAAATTATCGAAAATTTGAGAGAAATTATTTTTATCAATTTTAACAAGTTTGACAAATAAGATGAATATTATAATTAAAATTTACAATAATTTCATGACTATAATTGAAAATTAAATTACAAATACAAAGTTTATAAAGTTATAATGTATAAATATTATATATATATTATAGAAATTAGGTAATTCCTCAATTACTTCATATTTAATCACAATATTTGGCATTTATTGTATTTAGTTAACAAAATACAGAAAACTAATGCAATTGTGTTATATTGAGAGCACTGTTAAACAGTGATATTGAAATGCGGGCCCTAAATGACTACCTCATGCTATGTTTAATCGCAAAACTGGTGCACCAACTCATTGATCATACCGTTTGAGTTGAGCTTAAACTACACATCAACTATAAAAGCCATTGTTAGTGATATGTGAATATAAAGCTTATAAATACTATGCTCTATGTGTCTCATTGCAGACAAACTATATATATTGTATATTATTATATATTGAAGTTTTTATTTATTCACTCATTTCTCTGATGTTGTGTGGGCTAAACTGTCAGTCTTTTCATGAGTCGTTTTAATTCAAAATGACAGTCAATATCATTGAATCAAAACTACCAGTAATTGTTCGGTACTACCATTGCCTACCAATGACTTACTGACCCAACAATATGGCACACAATCAGTCATTTTGCAGCGATTAGTCCACACCTCAACAATAAATTTCATTTTATCAACTTTTAGCTATTAATTTTATTTGGCAACAAAATGTTTAATCGTTTTCACACAACTCCTAAAAATATCATAATATCCTAATTTAACACAACTTTGGTTTTGTTATATTATAAGTTTGAGTTTAATACTCTATTATTTTAATAATAGTTGCAGTCATGTCTGATGCAAGCATTGTCTTCCCATAAGACATGGCTTAACAATTAAAAGTAACTAACATTTTGCTGCTCCCACTCAATGTGTTTCACTACTATTAAGCATCAAAAACACACCCATTTCTTAACGAGTAATTTATTTGAATGCATTAAATGTGGATATATTAAGAATATATTATATTATATATATATCACACGTTATATTCATTTAAGTATTCATTTAAAAAGAGGAAAAAAGAAAAAAAGATTTGTTATTACAAATTGAAAAGTTGGTATAAAATGATGAGAGTATTCATAACATGATATACGTGTTATTAGTCAGTGAAAGCATTACCTTTGATATGTTGGTCTCATTTTACATGCGATACTCAAATGGATTTACTCATTCACTAGCAATCTATGCAATGCTTTCATAACATTATATTACATACTCTACAACACTGAATATATACAGTATATGAATGTATATATACGTACAATGTGTGTATATATGTGTATATATGAGTCATTCACTATATATTATATACAATATTGTCTATTCTTTTACCTCTATTAGAGTTGAGCTCTAAAGAGGAAAAGGCATACAATAAATGAAAGATAAAATAGAAAAGAGAAGAGAAGTGAGGGAATGGCAGATGAGATGAGACCTCAATATGGATTGAAAAGAGGAAATATTATGTAACCAATTAGGCTCCTGACTAATGACTGCATCGATTGCACTGATGTAATGGATTAGCTATAGTATAGTACACTATATATGATGTAATATGGTATACAAATGTATGCCTTATTCACTGTTATTGCTGTGATATTATATAATAAGGCGATTGTGAGCCCATGTATTCCCCGACCAGTAATTCCCTTTTGTTTGCCTCACATTTGCTTTCATTTATTGACAATTTTCTCTTAACTTTTTGATAAAATCAAAAGAAAACTATTTCTAATATAAATTTATATTTAAATATGAGATAAATTGTGTTGTTATATATAGTATTATATGATGTGGTTTTAAATACATACAGAGTTTTCCTCTTTGCTCATAAGCTTCAAATCATTTAATTATAACGTGAATTGCGATTAACAGTGACAACACTACACCTCATAATTATTGATTACATAACATTACGCGTGCACTAACTTACACATATTATTTGTCATTACATTTTAATTGCTATATTTTATCTAAACATTATAGCAATCGATTTAAATAAACATTTAAATACTACTGTATATGCTTTCTATGTTTTCCAAGTGTATCATAAAGCTATAGTAATATGAATTGAAATATTGATTGCTAGATATTGTTATATTTAGTACAAATAAAAGCCAAAAACGATAGCTTTATATAATATATATATATGAGAGACAATTGAAAAGCAGTTATAGTGTGGGCTATGAGTCGCGCAACACATTGTAATCGATTGATTCAACTGAACAACAACTCAACAAAACGATTGCAAGTTTTGCACAAAAGTTACACTAAATATCAAATGCATGTTTGAGTTGCAGTTTAGCGCATATATTGTTATAGCGAGTAAAACATAGAGATAGCGATAAAAGATATACTCATAGATATGACTGCTTTCAAAAGATTCATTATATTTTATATAGTTATATATTTTACCAAATGCTCAATTCATATACTCAAATAAAAGTGAAAACTATATAATTTATTATTTAAATTTAAATAAATTTATAAAAATAAAGAATTTGGAAAATTCTGATATTGCATACAATTAATAGGATTTTGTTTAAATAGTTTTTACTTTTAAAAAAATATATTAAAAATAATTCTTAAGTAAAGTAAAAGCAATTAATTAATTTTATTTTTATATTTTGTTAATTAAGATGCTTATATTTTGAAATTATTCTTGAAAAATTATAAATATTTTTAAATTCAATAAAAAATAAAAATTAATTTTTAAACTTTTATTATCACTGCCAAGTATTGATCATTGACTTTGATAATTGTATAATATATTAGTGAGTTATTTACTGTATGATAGTATAAAAATATGGAAAATCGCAAACTCTGTATTTAATGTGTTATTCAGAGCACTAAATAAAAATGAAATGCAATGATAGTATAAAATACAGTAAATATTGCATATATGTGTAATGTAAGCATTAAATAACATTATTTGATGAGCGCTTTGCGTGTCTAATGTGTCTACTTTAATGTCATTTACAGCAGTCTTATATTGTATGGGGTATATAGTGATAGTGATAGTGATGGGCACATGTTTTCTTCAATTTTCATCTCTATTGCCTAAATGACTGCCAATCAGTCACTCAAGTGTTTATAGTTTCCATCACTGAAACTCACATTATTACACAAATTTATCGTTACTCAGACCGAGAGAGAGAGAGAGAGAGGACTATAGTTTGATAATTTGTTTGATAACCTGCAATAAGTTTGTCTGATTGAAATACATTAATGATAATTTGATTGGATTGTGAATTAGTTAATAATAAAAATAGAAAAAAGAGTAAAATATACTGTAGTGACACATACTGTGTATAGTTTATGATGTGTTGAATAAAGTTTGAAGTATTCAGTGTAATACAGTATTAAAAGTAATGATGAGTCCATATATATATATATATATATATATATATATATATATATATATATATATATATATATATATATATATATATATATATATATATATATATATTATATGTTCATCTTATGAGTACTCAAATACTGTTTCTCTTTTTCATATTATATCGACTATTAAGTGTATTATATGATACTATTGATTATATGGATTATATAAGTTGTGCACTTCAGCTGAAACTTATTGTATGCAATATTTATGCTTAAAGTTGTGGTCATTCATTTGTTTGGTACTGTCAATGGTTGCCAATTATTCATACCATTAATAGGCCATTAAAGTGTCAGTTTTATGCTCCCCTTTAATGCTTCAAATGATTTGCTGCTCCGATGAGATGATATTTTAGTCAATATATGGATAGTAAAAGCAATGGCAGTAATGTTGCCAATAGTGATACCCAGTTATCAAATATATTGTATTTATAGAATAGACATCAATAGAGTTAGTGAGTTGAGTGCAAATAGTGTAGAGCTTTAGTAAAGTCCGATATAAGCAGAGCTCATCACTTGATTTAATCAAATTTATAACTATATATAACTATATATAGCTATAAAATAGCGCAAAATCTATTCATTCATTCAATTCATCGCTTATTTTTAATGTTAGAGCTCTTATTGCTTTATATTACACAATATTCTTGTGTTATATATTTTGTTTGAAATTATTTTTATTTTCTTGTCCTCACCATTACTATCGCTAACATAATATATAATATAACACACAAACTATATAACAGACAACAGCAGTGAAGCAAACAAACAAATACTCGTCTAAAGTAACAAATGGTATATAAAGCGAAACATTTTTCTCGTTCACAACCAAAACAACAATTTTATATAAAAGACTTGTAAATCTCTTTTCTCTTTCAATTCACTATTTATTTCTCTTTTTTTCTTCATATGCTCTTCAAATCAAACGAGAGTCGAGAACTTCATGAAAATAATTCCCAAACTTTTATATTATTTGTTGTTTTCTTACATCTCTTATATATAGTATCTTCTGTTGTGTATCTTATATAACTATACTATAGTTTTTTCACTCATGTATTAAATTTGTGTATAAATTCAAACGGAAAACTAAATATCAGATTAAGTTTTGAATTTTAAACTTTAAACCAATATTCTTTTCATTTTATTTATTGTCAAAATAAAACTATTGGTTTTTAAAATACTGATATAATTTTTTTAAATTTTTCTTTATATATATACTGTATTTACAATGTTTAACAAATACTGTATATTATGATAGCTTCGAATCCATGCAATTAACAAAACACAAGAATTTAGCGCATATTCACTATTTATTATATTAAATAC